TGTCAACACTCACATACCCACTACCACCACTGTCAACACTCACATACCCACTACTATCACTGTCAACACTCACATACCCACTACTATCACTGTCAACACTCACATACCCACTACCATCACTGTCAACACTCACATACCCACTACCACCACTGTCAACACTCACATACCCACTACTATCACTGTCAACACTCACATACCCACTACTATCACTGTCAACACTCACATACCCACTACCATCACTGTCAACACTCACATACCCACTACCACCACTGTCAACACTCACATACCCACTACTATCACTGTCAACACTCACATACCCACTACCACCACTGTCAACACTAACATACCCACTACTATCACTGTCAACACCACATACCCACTACCACCACTGTCAACACTCACATACCCACTACCACCACTGTCAACACTCACATACCCACTACCATCACTGTCAACACTCACATACCCACTACCACCACTGTCAACACTCACATACCCACTACCACCACTGTCAACACTCACATACCCACTACTATCACTGTCAACACCACATACCCACTACCATCACTGTCAACACTCACATACCCACTACTATCACTGTCAACACCACATACCCACTACCACCACTGTCAACACTCACATACCCACTACCACCACTGTCAACACTCACATACCCACTACTATCACTGTCAACACTCACATACCCACTACTATCACTGTCAACACTCACATACCCATTACCATCACTGTCAACACTCACATACCCACTACTATCACTGTCAACCACCACTCACATACCCACTACCACCACTGTCAACACTCACATACCCACTACCATCACTGTCAACACTCACATACCCACTACTATCACTGTCAACATACCACATACCTCACTACCACCACTGTCAACACTCACATACCCACTACTATCACTGTCAACACTCACATACCCACTACTATCACTGTCAACACTCACATACCCACTACTATCACTGTCAACACTCACATACCCACTACCATCACTGTCAACACTCACATACCCACTACTATCACTGTCAACACTCACATACCCACTACTATCACTGTCAACACTCACATACCCACTACTATCACTGTCAACTCCACATACCCACTACCACCACTGTCAACACTCACATACCCACTACTATCACTGTCAACACTCACATACCCACTACTATCACTGTCAACACTCACATACCCACTACTATCACTGTCAACACTCACATACCCACTACTATCACTGTCAACACTCACATACCCACTACAATCACTGTCAACACTCACATACCCACTACCACCACTGTCAACACTCACATACCCACTACCACCACTGTCAACACTCACATACCCACTACCACCACTGTCAACACTCACATACCCACTACTATCACTGTCAACACTCACATACCCACTACTATCACTGTCAACACTCACATACCCACTACCATCACTGTCAACACTCACATACCCACTACTATCACTGTCAACACTCACATACCCACTACCATCACTGTCAACACTCACATACCCACTACCATCCACTGTCAACACTCACATACCCACTACCACCACTGTCAACACTCACATACCCACTACCACCACTGTCAACACTCACATACCCACTACCATCACTGTCAACACTCACATACCCACTACCATCACTGTCAACACTCACATACCCACTACCACCACTGTCAACACTCACATACCCACTACCATCACTGTCAACACTCACATACCCACTACCATCACTGTCAACACTCACATACCCACTACCATCACTGTCAACACTCACATACCCACTACCACCACTGTCAACACTCACATACCCACTACCACCACTGTCAACACTCACATACCCACTACCACCACTGTCAACACTCACATACCCACTACCATCACTGTCAACACTCACATACCCACTACCATCACTGTCAACACTCACATACCCACTACCACCACTGTCAACACTCACATACCCACTACCACCACTGTCAACACTCACATACCCACTACCACCACTGTCAACACTCACATACCCACTACCATCACTGTCAACACTCACATACCCACTACCACCACTGTCAACACTCACATACCCACTACTATCACTGTCAACACTCACATACCCACTACCACCACTGTCAACACTCACATACCCACTACCACCACTGTCAACACTCACATACCCACTACTATCACTGTCAACACTCACATACCCACTACCACCACTGTCAACACTCACATACCCACTACCATCACTGTCAACACTCACATACCCACTACCACCACTGTCAACACTCACATACCCACTACCACCACTGTCAACACTCACATACCCACTACCACCACTGTCAACACTCACATACCCACTACTATCACTGTCAACACTCACATACCCACTACTATCACTGTCAACACTCACATACCCACTACCATCACTGTCAACACTCACATACCCACTACCATCACTGTCAACACTCACATACCCACTACTATCACTGTCAACACTCACATACCCACTACCACCACTGTCAACACCACATACCCACTACCATCACTGTCAACACTCACATACCCACTACCATCACTGTCAACACTCACATACCCACTACCATCACTGTCAACACTCACATACCCACTACCATCACTGTCAACACTCACATACCCACTACCATCACTGTCAACACTCACATACCCACTACCACCACTGTCAACACTCACATACCCACTACCACCACTGTCAACACTCACATACCCACTACCATCACTGTCAACACTCACATTCCCACTACCATCACTGTCAACACTCACATACCCACTACCATCACTGTCAACACACATACCCACTACCACCACTGTCAACACTCACATACCCACTACCACCACTGTCAACACTCACATACCCACTACCACCACTGTCAACACACCCACTACTGTCAACACCACATACCCACTACCACCACTGTCAACACCACATACCCACTACCACCACTGTCAACACTCACATACCCACTACCACCACTGTCAACATCACATACCCACTACCACCACTGTCAACACCACATACCCACTACCACCACTGTCAACACCACATACCCACTACCACCACTGTCAACACCACATACCCACTACCACCACTGTCAACACCACATACCCACTACCACCCACTA